GGGGGGGGTAAGCGACGGGCGCGCGCGGCAGCGATTGATCGACGTCGATCGGCGGCCGCCCGCTGTGTGGTGGTCGTCCGCGTCCTTCTCACGGTGAACCCTTCGTACACGTCCTGGTCCCGATCGTTTCCGCGATCCAAACGACCGTCCCTACCGATCAACGGTCCTCTCGGTCCGTCGACAAATGTCTAGGGATGTGAAACAAAAACAAACGGTACCAATCTTGTTACCTCGTTTGACGGCGGCGCGACGCGTTTTCAACCATCAACCGAAAACGAGCGTTACCCCAAACAAGCTTTTTGAGAACTGTTAACCGTTGCAGCAACAGTAACGGCGCATTTTACCCCGAGCGAGCGTCGTGTACCGTCCCTGACATTTGTTCGCGCTCGAGCGAGTCCAACACTATTATTTCAATACGTACTCGTGTTGACGGTTCCGTTTTAAATCGATTTTTCGTAACCTAAACTGCTCGATCCAATACGAAGGCGGCTGCCAAATAATTTTGATTCTCGCCTCCCTAACCCCTTCCCGCGCACCAGCAGCCTTGGACGATATTTATTTCGCCTTTACTTCCGCGTCGTAGTATTACTACGTCACCGCTAATCGTTTGGAACAGGTCGTACTTGAATTTTCATCCGTTTGTCACCAGGATTATGTTTGAATTTTTTTTCCGGGATGCAAGCGATTATGCGAATCTGATACGGTTCACATCGATCTGTGTATTCTAAAGGTTTTCGAATCTGACCCCATCGTTTCTAATCTCTCTTGGTTATAAACATATAGCCATTATTAATAGAACGAGTTAATTTTACATTTTATTTTGGCCTTGCTATGCACTTCACAATGACGTAACCACCTTATATATCGAAACGTAATTTATGAATACAATATTAAGCATTCTGTGCACTTTTCTCGTGATTTTCACTACTTCAATCGTACACAATAAAGGTATGCATGGGTATAAGAAATTAAAATTTCATTATTGTAGTTTAGGACTAATTTGAATTACATAAATTCATTAAAATTCTATATGATAAATGTATACCTATTATAGTTATTGTTACCATTGATTATATATTACTAGTAATATATAATCAATGTTGTTACCTAAAATATATTTATAATAAACCGAGGTCTGTATTGTGTTGCAATAATTATAAAATTTGTGTTGTTATTGTTGTAGGCAATTATTACGAAATTGCCATAAACCTACTTAATTGTTTTTAATGACAATAAAACTAACCATTTTAATTAATAATAAATATTTAAAAAAATAAAACTACTGTAAAACGCATATTATTCAGATGGAAATTCAATTGAAAATTGGAAATTCTTCATATTCATTATACAATAGTATACATCGCCGCAATTTAATTTAAAAGTCCATTTTAAAACGTATTTTTTATATAAACGTAATTTTCAAAAACAAATTAATTATAATAGTTATAACCCAAGAAATGTTAAAATTTTTTATGTTTAGACTTAAAACAGTTGCAGTTTTTGATTGAAATATATAATAGTTGAACATAATATTATGTATAAAAAATAATTTAATAAGTAATAGGAAGGAGCAAACAGTATAATATTCTACACAATCTTAGATTAGATATTAATTTATTTATATTTAATGTTATTTTATTTCAGCTGCTTCATATGGGTCGAGATTATCCACAAGGTTATGATTTTTTTCGTTCACGATTGAAAAAAGCTTTCCAACGGAACAGTGATATCAGTGATCCAGAACAAATACAGTCTTTGGTCAAACGTGGAGAGTTTGTTGTTAAAGAAATTGAAGCCCTATACATGCTCAAAAAATACAGAACCTTAAAAAATAGATATTCTACAGAGGAAAATCCATCAAAGTCATAGAACTATTTGTTTAGTTTTTATATATTATTATAAAATACAATTTATTGTGTACATAGTTTTTTTTTTTTTTTTTTTTTTTTGATATATATTTAGTTTAAGCTTACAAACAAAATAAAAATAATAAAAATATATTGGTATATGCGTTACTATCTTCTTTTCGTGCATGCTCATAAGTGCACATAATAAATTTGTTTCAGTATAAACACAGTATAAGTTATTAAATTATACAAACTATAATACTCTTAAATTGTTTTAATAGTTTATCAACAATTACAATATATTAAATTATAAATAAAATAATAATAAAAACAAACCATAAGAATTGATTTTACGACAGTAATATGAAGAAAAAAATCAATTTAGTTTAAAATAACAAAAAACTTACATAATAATGTTTCTTTTTAAGAATTAATTTGAGTTTAATGTAAATAAATAAATGACAGATAAAATCAATATGGTAAGTATATTAATTTGTGTTTTTAATAGGAGATCAAATGTTAAATGTATTTTAAAATTTGACTAACCGCTTTTTTTTGAAACATTATTATGAATGATAATTTTTATTTCATTGGTATTGGTGGTTAATATCAAATATATATCATACCATTGGAATATAGAATAAAATACTTATTTAAACATTAAACATTAAATGAAAACTTGACTTACAGTATTTAGGTATATTACTAACCACCAAATTGTAATAAAATATCTCTGGTGCAAAACTCTACTTCTTTATTAAATTTAAATTAAATTATGAAGTTATGCTTGTTAGTACATATAAAACTTCGAAATATGCAACTTAAACAAAACAATTGACTTACTTTCAAATTAGAAAATGTTGAAATGTTGCTAGTAAAATTAATAGTTAAATTTTCTATAAGTAACATTTACAATTTATAATTGGTATTTAATTTTATTAAAGTAAATTATAAATGATATATTTATAATTTTTGTTTTGTCTTCACTTAACTTTTTAACGCCTGTAAGCGATTTTTCATTTCTTCTAAGTCATCATCTTCTTCAATAGTTTCTGTTTCCGGCTGTACAGTTCCACCTGGTGTTTCAGTAACTGCCATTGGAGCTTGACCTAGTGCTCCAGCTGTGATCTCCCATAGAACCTATAGTTATTTATGATTTATTAAGATGAAAATAATCTAGATTTATTTAATCACAAATATACTTTATCGATTTCTGATTGTGCTTCTTCTTCCATATCTTCAGGATCATCCATTACGTTTTCCATTGTATCATCCAACATTTCTTCAATAATTCCAGCCTAAGGCAAAAATAAATAAAATCATATTAATTAGTATGCATTAGTTGACCTTAATACTAACCTTCATCATTTCCTTAGACAAGTCTCTCATAGTAGCTGCAACCTCAGGTACTTTGATCAAATTATGCATCGTTTGCATCACTTCAGTAGACTTCTGCAATGAACCGGCCATCCTCAGAATTGCTAGAATAAAAAAAATGTCATTACACAGAAGACAATTAGAGTTAACAGTAAATGTACACAGTTGATTTTTCATTTGCATCTGTATGGAATTCAAATGAGTCTTCGATGTAATCAATTTATTGATGGTCTTTCGCGACCGCAGTATTTCTTTGGCAAGAATGATACAAACATCCTTGTTGCCTTTTTTCGCTGCATCTTTCATGGAGCGTTTGACCTTTTCCTCTTCTCTCTGAATGGCTGCATCATGCGAACAAAGTGGTCAATAATTAATCATTGATGATTCACGTCGAAAACACTTTGTTCGGTGACTTTACAATGTACATAAACACTCACCTCGAACCTGCCGATCAAGTTTGTAGGATTCTTTGCGTATGGTTGATGTCCATTGTTTTACCTGCCAAGAAACATATTGTTATTATTACGCCGTTAACGGCTGGGTGACGGGTGGGCGGTCTACGAGAGAGATACACTCACTTGTTCTTTGGGATCGAGCGCAGGCGATTTACCGAATATACCCATTTCGTCTGGACACGGGGTGTTAAGTTTGAGGTCCGATATCCACTTATGAGCCAACGGCGCGGTTCATAGTTCGATAACAAATAGATTTCTATCGAGAAAACAGATGTGCTACAGAAATCGGACCGGAAGCAGATGTAGCTTTTGGAAAACTTTTATTCTTCGCGCTTATCACACTCGCGTAAACATTAGTCATCGGTTATCAAACTTTGTATTGTTTACGATTCCGTATACGGCGGCGGCGGCGACGACTGCCATATGTTCCGCGTTTTCGGTCGATATCTCTCGACACGACGGAAAGCATATAAGCATTGTTAACATTGTTAGAGAACCCAATGAAAACACTGTTCTATGATTGGCTGTAATCCCATTGAGATAACGACTTCGCTATCAATTATCTGAATTTCATAAATCACGAAAATAATCAGTTATCAAATTTCTGAATTTTGAATATTTTAAAGACGTTTTAATGCTTTTAAACTTTTAACTTTTATTTGGAATTTGAAGTTTGACAAAATGATATTTCCAAAAAAATATACAAATGACATTGTTGGAGAAATTGGGAATACCGTTAACATCAGATCAAACATATCATGTATGGAAGATATCAATAATTAGGTTTCTTAATTTGGAGAGTTAAATTTTAATCATTGGAACTATCAATCCAGTATTCCGAATGACCAACGAATTGTTTGCTAATAAAGTCTTTTACAGATTTTTTTTTTTTAGATTTTTACAGACTGAATAGTTGTACACAATTTTAATTTATATTATTTGTTGATATGAATAAAAATTAATTATTTTAAAAGTTTTATTGATGTATTCTACAGTATTAGTATAAGTATATTTTTTTATAGGTAGAAAAGTTGAATTTCTAATTCATATTTTATAATATTTATTTTCATTTTTTTTTATTTCTAAAAATTGGAGGCACCCTATAGCCTATGCCCTATACTCTATAGTTTATACTGAATACTAATGTATCATATATTTAAATTAATATTTTGTAACTTCGATTTTATTTAGCATAAATAAACAATAAAGATAAGATAAAGTCACAAGTATTTCACCGTAAATAACTTTAAAACAATTCACATCAAATCGATAGCAATCGAACCAGTATGAAAATTAAAATAGATTGAACATCTCAGTATTACTATGTAAAAACTATATGTGTTCATAATTAATTCATTAAATTATAATGTATATACCTAATTAACTATACACAATAGGTTTTATACTATAGACATAGAGTATAGTCTGTTTTATTACTCACAGAGCTATATTTTTCATGAAGGCATTTAAAAATAAATTTATACTTTAAATATTTTTGTGGCACCTTAAATTTTATCTCGCGGTGCCCTGGTTGGGAACCTCTGACTTACAGGATAAATATTTTAACTATTATAATTATGTATATATTTTATATTCTGAACGAAGTGATTTTTTTTTTTTTTGATTTTTACTGACTGATAAGTAATACAAAATGTCAAGTTATATTCTTTGTTGATATGATTATATGATTTACAATTATTTCTATTATATTTTATTTTTAGTTATCATAACTAACATATTTTATTTGAAACAATGTTTTATCTTAAAATAAAAATTTGATATTAAATTTAAAATTGGTATCATTATTTGGTAGATAAATTTATATATTAGATATTTTATATATACCTTATGGGTCTTATAATCCATAACAGCATTTATTATTTTATATTTTAATTAGATATTAATTATTAAATATTTTAATAAATAAATAATTTTTTTTTTTGGAAATATAATTTCAGTGATTTATCAGTTTGATAACTGATAACAGATAATTGATAGGGAAGGTTATCTAATCCCATTGGAATTAGAGCCAATCGTAGAACAGTATTTTCATTGGGTTCTTTAACAATGTACACTATGCTTTTATGCCGACGGGAACATCAAAGTCTGATAAGAGATAACAAACCACCATGACGATTGCCGGTTAGCCTGCAGTCCGGTTTTTTGGCCTTGATCAACTTTTCTTGTTCAATACGTTTTGCCACAATTGCTTCGTTCGTTCTCCGTTTAGTTTGTTTCCACTTTCCCATAAGGTATTTCCCTCGGGGTTTCAAAACGGTTCGCTAAGACTGTCGTTTTACCCGTCGAGTACTTAATTCACTTTTTTCATTCGACATGTTTCGATTTGCTAATAAGATTTCGCGTTCAAGCGTGTCAGCCATACAAAAGTGTTTTGCCAGCAATGCACCGAAACCAATTATCAACCCGCCGATTAAATACACAGAGGTAATTATTGATGAAATATAATTACATTTTTTCTTCTCCTTCGTCTTTCTCCCAACTTGGCATTTGGGGTCGGCCACTTTAGTCTTAAATCAATATCCCTCATATCATTCTCAATTGTATCCAACCATCTTTTTTATAATGAAATATAATTAACATTATTTACTTAAAAAAAAAAAAAACAAATAGTATGTATTATGTAATAAATGTACCTGTGATAATGATGAGTACACATGAGTACTGCTGTCTAATTGTATGGTTAAAAGTTTGTTCTTACCCATTTGAATTTATGGTTATACCTTTATTTTGAATGCGTACACCTAACACCTATACCAGGTTGCTTTTCAGAATATCGGTGATGTTTAGTTATCAAAAAATCCTGTTAAACATTTCAAAATTACAGTTCTGTTCTCCTACAATAGATAGGTAGTGTTTCTAAAATAGTATAATACAATATAATAATTTGTGATAATATATTTTGTACAAAAATTGGTTTTTTTGTGTACTATTTATAAAAAATTTATTGATTTCTAGAAAATGTCATTACAATTTTATGCTAGTATTTCTAAACTGCAATTGAATAAGAATATAATTTAATTTAATGTATCTAGTTTATACATATTAATCTTTGACTGTTTAATATTTACTTATTTATATGTTATTTAGACAGAATCATAGTACTTACTTATTGTACTTACTAGAAATTTAAAATATGCTATTAAAAAACAAGAACACTATTGATGTACCTATTGTTAATTATTTATTTTGATTTATGCAGTGTTGTGTTACAAAAGATTTATGATTTAAAAGGTTATGATGTAGCATATATATTGGTAGCTCTCAATAAATAATTTATTGAATTTATTATAATAGTTTTTATATCCTCATCAGTAAAATATTTTAATTAATTTACAAAGGTTTTTTTTCTAATAGCTTTTTATTAACAATGAATTTGTAAAATCGTCATCTGGAAAGACATTTGATACTCTTAACCCGGCTACTGGCGAAGTAATTGCACAAGTACAAGAAGGAAATGATGTATGTTCCACATTTCAAATTTAATTTTCAATTTATAGTAAAAAATTTATGTATAAACTTAAGTATCTATCATTGACCTAGGTGGATATTAATAATGCAGTTACTGCTGCACAAGAAGCATTCAAGTTGGGAAGCCCTTGGCGCACAATGGATGCTTCAAAACGTGGTGTTCTCCTACATAAATTGGCAGATCTAATGCAACGAGATTCTGTTTATTTGGCTGTAAGATTTAAAAATTTTATGAATATTAAAATATTCAATGAATGTATACATGAACATTTGAAACTATTATTTACTTATTACTAGACTTTGGAAGCATTGGATAACGGTAAACCATTCAGTGTTGCTTCATCTGATGATGTTCCTTTTAGTGTTAGTGTACTACGTTACTTTGCTGGTTGGGCTGACAAAAATCATGGAAAAGTCGTTCCAATCGATGGTAACTATTTCGCATATACCAGACATGAGCCAGTTGGTGTTTGTGGTCAAATTATACCTTGGAATTTTCCATTGTTGATGCTGGCTTGGAAAATTGGACCAGCTTTAGCCATGGGTAAATTAATTTAAAACTTAAGAAATTTATATTTAATAATGAATTATATGATTAATTTTATTAGGAAATGTTGTTGTTCTAAAGCCAGCTGAACAGACTCCTTTAACTGCTTTATATATTGCTAGTCTTGTCAAAGAAGCTGGATTCCCACCTGGAGTTTTAAATATTATTCCTGGTTATGGTTCTGCTGGAAAAGCTATTGTTGACCATCTTGGTGTAGATAAAGTTGCATTTACTGGTTCAACTGAAGTAATTAAATTAATTTAAGATTTGCTAAAAATTATATTTTTACAATGCATTGCAATCAGGTTGGTCAACTTATAGCTCAAGGTGCTGCTAAAAGCAATCTAAAAAGAGTTTCTCTGGAATTGGGTGGCAAATCTCCAAACATAGTTTTTAGTGATTCAGACATTGATTATGCTGTCGAAGGTGCTCATTTTGGACTGTTTTATAATATGGTTAGTTGTAAAATGTGTACTATGTAATTTTTCCAGTTCAACTATTTTTAAGATTAAAATAAAAATTATAAGTTATCTTTTAAATTTTATACTGTGTATCTTATATTAAGGAGACTAATTATGGCTATAATTTAGGGACAATGTTGTTGTGCTGGATCCCGAACATACGTTCAAGACTCAATTTATGATGAATTTGTTGAGAAGAGTGCTAAAAGAGCAGAGAAACGTATTGTAGGAGATCAATTTGACCCTAAGACACACCAAGGACCTCAAGTAATATTTGGTTTTTTTCTTCATTTTTTTGATACATATGTTTTTACAATGTTATAATTTTTATGTTAACAGGTTGATGAAGAACAATTGAATAAAATTCTTGAAATGATTGATAGTGGGAAAAAACAAGGAGCTTCACTTGTTGCAGGTGGATCTCGAATCGGCAATAAGGGCTATTTTGTACAACCAACTGTGTTTGCTGATGTTAAAGATGACATGAAAATAGCAAAAGAAGAAGTAATTTTTGAGTTCAATTAAATTATAAATTTTTACTAGTTATATAAACATCATGTTCTATTACAGATTTTTGGTCCTGTACAACAAATATTGAAATTTAGCGATTTTGATGAAGTTATTAGTCGAGCCAATAATTCTGATTATGGTTTGGCAGCAGCAGTATTTTCCAAGAATATAGATATAGTTAATAAAACGGTTCAGAGTTTTAGAGCTGGAACTGTCTGGTAAATAATGTTAATCAAATAAATATAAATATTCTCATATAAATAAATACATTTTTTTAAAATAGGGTTAACTGTTACAATGTACTTGGAGTACATGCACCGTTTGGTGGATACAAAATGTCCGGCCATGGAAGAGAAATGTCTGAGTATGGGCTACAGCAATATACAGAAGTCAAAACAGTCATTGTTGCCACACCTCAAAAAAATAATTAATTTCATACTTTTTTTTTAACAATTTTTGTGTTGAACATAGTTTATGGATTGTAAAATATATATATGAGGCTACTATTTTCCACAATGCATTTTGATAGTACATTTCAACAATTTTAAAAACATTTAAACATGTGTAGTTTATTGACTATAAATTGTAGATCAGGCAATGCATGATTACTATAGTCCAAAATGGTCACATTAAATATTTTAAATTAAGAAATTTCAAATTATTATTTATTGGTTTAAATAATTACAAAAATATTTTATTTTTGCATTTACAGTTTTCCTATTTATGTTAAATTATTACCAAGATTACTTTTAAAGTTTATAATAAATATGCCTAATAAAAAAAAATCTTTAAAAACAGTTTTTATTACATTATTATTTTTCCACTTTATTTGCATGTATACACTTTAGCAAAATGAATACTTATTTTATAATGCACAAGTCTATTGTAGTCTCTATCACGTAGAGTAAATTATTGTTGAACAATAGCATTTTCAAATATGAGTATCTACAGATTAATTAAATATACTATGGTTCATTAAGTTATTTTTGAAAGTTGTACACATAAAATGGATGACTGTTAAGTTCCAAAATAAATAATTATATTTTTAATATAAAAATATATATATAATTTAGACTTTGAACTGTTGAACATTTTATAAAGGTTACAATTTATATCAGTGCTTCCCAAACTTTTTCGACTCAAGGCACACTTTTTGATCCAAGGTTTTTTCAGGGCGCCCTTCTCTAAGTCATAGCATGACTAATCATAAGGAAAATGTTAGACCCGAAGTATTTCATGATGGCGCGGCGGCCTTATACATACATCGCGGCGCACACTTTGGGAACCTATGATTACTATTATACTATTATATTATTATACTATGATACTATTATACTGGTCAGATACTTCAATGTCAAAAAATGCTAACCAAGTTAAATTTAATATGTTCACTATACATATATAAATATTACTATTCTCCTGCTAGTATAGTGTAAATAAAATTGTTATTTTCAGGTTACATTTAGACTTAAGGGAAGTGTTATTTAATATTGAGGTTTCGATTTAAGAAAAAGTTGTAGCAAGAGCCAAACACCTATAATTTTTTGGTATATAAATAAATCAATAAATACTTAGTATTACCATAATTGTAAAATATGACTAGTTTCAAAATGTATCGTTCAGATATATATATATAATATATATAAAGTTAATTTAAGTTAAAAAAAAAATCATAACTATTGTTATATTTTGTAAAGTTAAAGATGATGTTATTGTATGAACAAAAAAATCATTACTAGAAATCTGAAATTAAAAACAAAATAGTTCTGTAGTAGCTTTTATTTAATAATTTACAATTTAATCAGAAATTCATTTGGCGCAATATCAAATACGAACACATATTATAAATTATGGTAAATATAATTAAAAATAGATTCAAAATCGTAATATTAAAGTAAAATTAAAAATGGCTATCTAACACTTTTGATAAAGCACTGTCAATCTTGAGCTGACTTGTCTTTGTTCAGATTTGATTAAATTAGAACAAAATTATATCATATTCCCTTACACTAATTAAAAAAAAAAAAAAAAAAAACATCAGTATATTATAAATGCAAAGAAAAAAATGAGCGTATAAAAATAATTTATACTACATTTTATAAAAAGTTAAATATCTAATAAAAAAATTGTTCATTAATTCACATGAATCCCTGTATACATAAATATAATAAACTGTCACTTGTATATAAATAAATATAATATGAATGTATAATATGTATATAATATAATTAAAAAACTTAAAACACATTTTTATGAATATTTAATAAAAATTACAACTCGCTTTTAGTGATACATTTAGTATGATATAAATTAATTTTTAATATTTTATTGCTTATATGATAGCTGATAAGTTATACTAACAAATATAATGAATAAAAAAAAAAAAAAAATAAAAATAAATATAATTTAACATTTGAACTAGATGGGAGAGATCAATAAATCACAAAATAGTACTGCTTTGATCATAAAGCAAGTACAATATTTTTCAGTTCCCAAAATCAAATTTATAAATGTAAAAACCAAAAAAATAAAATAAAAAAAATATCAGAACTATAATTTCCAATTTTTGAGTAGTAAAATTGCATTTTATCAGAGATCAAGCAAAATTACGATGTTTAATTATACATATAAAATAAAAATTTATAACGAGTTCCAATTTGAAAATAATAATAACAAATAGGAAGAGAGAAAAATACTATAGGTAGTATAACATTTAATAATAATATAACTAAGAATTAAAATCATTATTAATGTGCTTAACAATAGCAACAAATACAAAAATAAAAAAATAGATTTATACTAAATATTGAATTTAAATATTTGCTAAATGCGACAATATCACTTTTTTTTAATAGTCGAATAAAAAATGTTTATAATACTTAACATTAAATGTATGAAAGACATTATGTAATGGGCAAGTTAATGCTCGATAACAGTAACAGAATGTTAAAAATACGTCAAACTTAAAAAAAAGTTTGTATTATTAAAATAATAAAGCTAAATGAATATTCTTTTTTAGAGAATAATTAGTCATATAAAATAGGGGTCTAAATTAGTGAGAATTATGAAATATATAATGCAAAATGAAATGATATTGTAAATACATTTTTTTTTATTAATTTATTGGACAGATGAAAAGTTTGTAAATAATATATAATTATATTTTAAAGCTTAAATGAAGAAAAAATTCACTAATCAGTGAACAATCATTTTAGAAACAAATAACGCCAAAAATTATGATGCCCAATTTAAAAAAAAAAATTTTCTTTCAAAAATAATTTCTCATTTCAGTCTTAAAAGACATTTATTATCACAAAATTTAGAATCCTAAATCATTTAACTGATATTTAAAATACTTATGGCTTCTTTCTACCTTATACGAAAAATTAATTTTTGTATGCCTTATTTGATTGCTGAAAATTTGATGTCCAGTTGTTTATTGATGGCTTTGACTTTGAATACAGATTTTAGGCACTGACAATGCTATAAGATCACATACAAATAAAATAATATAAATATATATATAAACATATTATAATATAATTAAATTAAAAATGTACTAAAATCTACATAATATAGTTAAAATTATTTATTTATAATATTATTACTTATTATTACTTTATAGTATTCTTATATATTTGTATTTTGTGCCTGAATTTGGTTTATTATGGTCATTATAATGGATATAATTAAAAGTTTAGTTCAAAGAAAAATAATTTAAAAACAAAACAATATTATTCCACATATATTTATTATATAGTTGTATATAGTTAATATTGAACATAAATAGGACATAAGTTAACTTTAATAAATTATGAATATTTTGATAAACTAATGTACTTAAGGTGAAATAAACCAGAAATAAATGATAAGTTTTCTCTTTGAATATCAAAATAAACATAATAAAATATTTTATTTAATAAAAATATGTTGTTCGAACAACATTAATTTATGTATTATGAACATTATAAATATATATTTAATTTGTTGTATAATAATTTATAAAATAACTGTTTCTAGGGTGAAATAGACTTGAACTCGAACAACGAGTTTAGTCTTTGGATATCAAAGAAATTAATTTAGCAAAAAGTATCTTGTAATTAAAACTAGTCGTTTTAAATACACAAATGTATTTTGCATTCAAAACTACAATAAAAAAACCTAATAATGCAGATACTAAATCAAACATTCAAATTATTTACAATATGTATACAGTAATTGAAAATAATTATAAATATATACATACATAACAAAGAAATATTGATTAAAAAATGTTTCTAGGGTGAAATAGACTTAAACTCAAACAATGAGTTTGGTCTTTGGATATCAAAGAAATTGATTTAGCAAAAAGTTTCTTGTAATTAAAACAAGTCGTTTTAAATACACAAATGTATTTTGCATTCAAAACTAAAATAAAAAACACAATAATGCAGATACCAAATCAAACATACAAATTATTTACAATATGTATACAGTATTTGAAAATATTATTATATATCAAGGGTCGTCAACAGGTTGATGACGACACAAGCTCAAGTTAATCTCAAATCTCTTTAATTTATTTCTTCCATAAAACAAATAAAATATTTTCGTAGTATATTGTAGGTAATCTAATGAATATTATGTAATAAATAATGGTCTTTATAGAGTTTATATATATATTGATAAAAAATATATTAAAATGCAAGTTATGTAAATATTAAATTAAAATTACTTATTAATATTTTAAATTGAAGAAATAAAGGAAGTATAACATAAATTTATGTAACATATATGTTTGTTCAATAACAATAATACAGAAAACTCAATCACAAGTCTATAATAATTGGCCATCCTGTTATTTATATAACTAATAAACATTGATTAAAGAACTGTTCCTAGGTTGAAATAGATTTGAACTTGAATTATTAGTTTGGTCTTTGGATATCAAAGAAATAGATTATGTAAAGTTTCTAATAGTTAAAATAAGTTGTTTAAACAAATATATTTTGTATTTTAAGCTTGAACAAATAGGAAACCATACAAATAACCTAAAAAATTGAATTTAACAACTATATACATATCATTGAAATTACCCTGCACTTCAAATTTTCAACACATTTAAATTTAATTTATGAATGGTTATTGGAAAATAAAAAATCAACCAGATTAATTTTATATATGTTTCATTCAAATTAAAAAAATTCATAAATCTATTCTCCAATTCCAAGAAATACCAATGCCAATATCTATAATACTAAAATATCTTGGTGTCATTCTTGACAAAAGATTTACTTGGATCCTTACGTCAAATCTAGAAGGAAAATCCTCAATAGTTAACTTTATTTACTTTGTACAGTTTTAAAATCAAAACTAACTTTTCATACTAAATTTATAAGTTCCTATTAAGACCAATTTAGGCCTATGCAATCCAAATTTGAGGATGTGCACAACTAACCATAATTCGTACCCTGCAAGCCTTCCAATTCATATCACTCCGAATTATCTCCACTCCACCATGGTATGTATACAATTCCACACTTCAAAACAATTTCAAAATAGAACCAGTAAATCAATCAGCCACAAATCATTATAAAAAACTTCACTATTACTCTTTAATCGCTAAACTTGCATCCAATTCATTTTTTGGAAATCTTTACTGCCAACTTAAGAACAAATGGTGTCAGAATTTATTAAATTATTAACTGTTTACTAACTAGTTATAATAATTAAAAAAAAAAAAAACTTAAATAAAATAGTTAATCAAAACTTAATTAACATTGAGTTCTATCATTGGATGGACTCTCTCCTCACATATTTCATTATTGTGATTCTTATATACTGAAGCAGATTTTAAATTATCTTTTTAATAATAATAAAAAAATTAAATAAAAAGTTTAAAAAAAAAATGACAAATATAATTTCCACATAAAATTAGAATTGAACTTATCTTAATAAATTTGTGTTTAAGATGAAATGGCCTAAAACTCTAAGAATATTTATCTTTGGATAACAAAAAAGTTTATGCAGCAAAATATTACTGATAATACAAACATGCTCGAAGTACACAAATGTATTAAATGCTTCAAGAGATATAATATAATATTAAATTAAAACATACCAATTTATAAAATAACTTCTGGTTCAGGTGGAGGTTTCTTCTTAGGTTTAAAAAATACATCTCTAATGAGCATTGAATGAATAGTAGGTATTTGTTTTTGTTGATGTAACCATGGGTATTCTGGATTGAAAGATTCATGATCGATAGCCACTCTTCTAGAAACACGAGTCATTATTCCTAATAAATCAATGGTTCTATGATCATGTTTATTCATTTCAATACATAAACTCTGAATAAACCATGTTCCATTTTCAGGATGCCTGAATGAATAATAACCTAAAATAATAAAAATGATATTTTTATTAATATATATAATAATTTTTAATACAACAGAAATATCACGTTATAATATTTAAAATTTACCATCATAAGTACTGAAAGCAATTAAGAAATCTGCATGAATAGGAATTTTGTATGCGGCAGTTAAAGAATCAACTTCAGTTTGTGATTCTCTACTCAATTTAATACCAGCATCGAGCTTTTCTCCACGACATGCCTATAACATAATAATTTATAGTTTCCAGTATAAATTACAACAGAAGATCAATGTACTTGTACAAAAAACATTTTGGGTTTTCCAGCCAGAGTTGTACATTTATCAGGTGTGAATGAATTCCATAAAGATTCTACTGGATATGGATTGTCTTTAGCATATATATATGAAGAATTAATTCCATGAGTCAACACGACCAAGGCAAGGCAATCATTATCAGAATGATCATCATTAGATACTACAAAATAAAAATAAATTTAGTAAAAATTAAATAATATTTTGATAATTTTTATACATACATTTGTTTAAACGATAATTCAATTCTTCAAGTATCAAATTATTCCAAATTACAACTTTAAAATCTAATCGACAGAACATTGTTTTCAATTCTAAAACATCTTTCCATGAACCAATTCGTTCAGGTAAATTTTGAGCAGGTCCTTCAAAAACATCATTATTAATGATAACAGCTATACCTCGATATTCATGATCCATATTATAACATGTAGCATCTCTAGTAACAGGCATATGCACATCACTTGATTTCTTGAATCCTGGACTGGTATTTCTATAAAATTGAATCAAAAATAATATATATGTATATATAATAAACAAATTCTAGAATCATTTTTACTTGTTACTACTATTTTGAGGATTAGATGATTGCTCTTCAACAAAGCTATTAGTTGGTCGAGCATCAACAGAATCAGCATCATTACTGGTACTGTATCGAAACCAGCCTTTAAAAGATCTGCTTGAAGATTGGGCACCAGGACTACTATAACCGAGGTCAAGAGATTCTGTGGTCAACTCAGAACGCCTAGATTGATTCCCTTCTTTAATGTCTGTAGCTTTTGATGTAGCAGAATAAACAAGTTCACCAGATGTTGATGGAAAACTATGACGTTTAATACATGCTGGAGACATTGGTCCACCAACACAATCAATAACATCAGAAGTTCTACGAATGCGTGGAGGAATCTCAGATGCTTCCATATCAATACTTTGAGAAGTATTCAGAAACACTTCGTCGTCTTCAAATCCTTCTTCATAAAAACTGGGTGATACAGATAGAATGAACTCTTCTTCTTCCTTAGTGGTCGTGCAAAATGTTAATGATACGTTTTCTTCTTGTGGAAATTCCATAGTTATCTGTAAAAATTATTTTTTAATATTAAATATATATATATTATTTTATTTATAACAATACATTTTATTAACTTTACTATTTTCCATAAAAATGTAATTTGATTTATTTAAAAATATAATTTTCATACTGAATAATATAAATTATTTAGACGTAAAATGTATATGAATGAATAGCCATAATATAATTTATCAATTGTTCAGAATTATCTACACCAAATATAGTATGAAGGCAGATATTAACCATATTATTTTATATTGTTTATATTCTAATTAATTCAATGTACTTTTGTTATTTCACTAACTTACATCGATTATTTTAATTTATATCTGTACTATCGAGCCTTTGTCTGTTTTATTAATTTGAATAATTATTATAATATATTTTTCAGTGTATTTACAAACAATTCCAAACATGAACCATATCTTGTTATAGTAATTTTTTTAAATGCACAGTCACTTTTATGCTATACAGATGAAATTTGTAAAATATGAAAATGAAAGTTCTTAATGAATAAAAATAAAATCATATTTAATGTACATAATTAATATAATTTATAAAGGTTGCAATGATAACTGTATTTGTTAAACCATGCACCATAATATGTTAATAACTATCACTTGAAATATTAATAAAATTAGCTGGCTAGTTAAATTAAATAATAAAATTAAGTATTAACAAAAAAATTAAAAATAATTACTATCATTAACATACTAACCTACAATAATTAATTTTAATTATAAATGTGGCCAGTAATTATTTGACAGCAATTTATAGTTATTAAAAATAACAAGATTTAACACTCGAATTTATAAAACTCAGTATAACTATGCGGAAAAAAACAAAAAAATAATTATAGATGGTGGTATGACTAACAAATCTACCACTAAAAAATTAAACCAGCTCATGCGAGTGTTTTTAAACACGATAAATTATACGTGAGAAGAGTGCGCAATGCGAAGTATAGAGGAGAACTTAACAAAAACACTGCGGGCAGAGGTGCAGTATTTTTCCAGTACCAACGAACAACCTGCAGGACGCATGACAAGTGGTTCCCAGACAATGTTAAAGAAGGAAAAACTACGAACGGATTAAGTAATATGTATTTAAGTTTTTTTCAAAGACGCAAATACAAATCTATTGTTAACAATAATAAAATCCCATCGTATAAAAATCCTACAAAACATTAAATATTATTAATTGATGTTAACATAATTTATACAAACGCATGTGCGCGTGTAAAATAAATTGTACTTCTTTTTGAACTGAAATATTATAAAAACTATAAACAAATATAGGTATATTGATTAACGACTGAGATATTTTTAAATTCAAAAAGATAATTTACTTATTTTTCCAAATCGATAGTATCGTTATTAAAACATCAAGGACGCTCGCGCGCGAGTTAAAAACACTGATTTTACCACTACATATAGACTGGGCCGCGGCGGCACACGACCACATGTGATCGAGAGAGCCCGTGACGAAATATCGTGTTGGTTTGTGCAACACTTGGTGTGCCCATGAGCAATACACAGGTGCACGGCGACGGCAGCGTTCGACAGTAGCCGCGTGCTGTCGGTAGTGTGGTGGTGGTGGGGAACCCTGAGGCTGTTGTTGAAGATAAAAACCCATTAAATTGAAACGCATATATAAAATAAAATCAAACACACAGGACCCTATGTTGTTGTGTATATGCGTAGTATAATATCTCTAATCTCGTTTTTTTTTTTTCTACACGTTTTGGAAAGATAAACAATCCAAATAATACAACGCCATCGACCTCAGATTACTAAAGAAATAATCATTGGACGAAACTATTCCGATGGAAGGCAATTTAAGAAAAAAAAAAAAAAAAATGTATGTAAAAACGTAATGAAATGTATCATGTCCTGTTGGTGCTACACGAAGCTGTAACAACTAGCCAACGCACGTTGTAACATGTACATCGTTCCAACAACATTTTAAATAAACACTCAATTTTTTCAAATTATTAAACAATAATTTTAGGAATACTTTTGAACATCCATTTCAAATGTTATTGGTATACCGTCGTACCTGTTTACGCGCAAAGCAAATTCAAACTAGTCTTCGGAGTGCCATAACATTCAACATTTACTAAATATTCATTGTTCACAATATAATGTCCCTTCGGCCTTACAACTGATATTTAATACTTATAAACATCTGTCAAGATTACAAAGGGCTGCACTTTCCATCGGATGTGCAAAGTTTCTAACATTTTAGTTCTCATCAAACGTTATCATCATCGGTCATGTTAAAAAGTAATGATTCAATCATCAACTTTGGATATATCAGAGCAAAATTATATTCACCAAGTCATTACAATAATTTTAATTATTTTATAATACTCGTCACTCGTCACCGGGAATTAATATGCAGCAAGTCATAATTTTCTTAGTCGATGAATAAGAAAACTTATCATATTTTTAAAAGTCTACCAGTTTTGAATAAAATTTTACAATCAATTTTTTAACATTTTTTTTTTTAGAAAAGATCTGTATACATAAGAAAACAATAAGTAAATATGATAACAATATTACTAGACGTGACAAACGTGAGGGAAGGGAACGTCCAGTGACACTACTTCCAAAATATGAACTTAGGGGGGAGGTAAAATTGTTTTATATAATTTAATTGGTACTAAGTATTATTTAATAAATCGCGCGGCCATTTACGTTTAAGACGACAGAGAGGGTTGTCAGATATTGTGCAAGAGATTTTGAATATTTGCGGGTAGAGTGGTTAAAAATGTTTTTATGGAATTTGTCATAACTATGAGAGGCAAGTGAGGATATCGGTGGTAAGTTGAGGTCATGGTGTAGGGTGCGGTTGGAGACGTACCAGAGAGCATTGGAGAGGACACGCAGTTATTGATTGGAAGGCTTGAAATTTGAATTGGTCTGAGTTGTTCGAGGTACTCCATAGTTGAATTATATCATATGTCATTGCGGGACATAAAATTTGTTTGTAGATTAGTATTTTATTAATAAGAGAGGTTATGGATCAAAGAAGTGGTCTTAATTTGTGAAGTCTGAGATAAAGCAAGGTTCTTTTAGCTTTGATGGGATCAGCCCAAGTTAATCTTTGGTCAAGAGTAAGACCTAGGTATTTGACAGATTTGTCCATTGGAATTAATTGGTTATTTATGTAAACAGGGGGGATTGTTTTAGTCATGAGGGTAAAAGTAATGTGAGTGGGCTTGCTTCAGTTAATCTTAATTTACCATAAGTTGGACCAATCTTGTAGTTGAGTTAGGTGCAGGGGCGGATCCAGAGTCTGGGAACTGTGGGTCAAGCCATTTCAAGAGGCTATTTATTAGGAATGAAACTAAATTAAAAATGAATACCTTGTAAAAAAAAAAACCACAATATACTCATAAAAGTGTATAAGTATATTTATATTACATTTTAGAATTAGTGATACCACCGATAATGGCATATTTACGATTAATAAATATAATCTAATTTTATCAGCGCAACAAACGTACGAAATAAAATATGATTTACTTAACTTTCTACTAAAACGATATAATTCAAAATATAAATTATGAACGGAAAAATTTTATATTTTGACCTAACACGGCATTCAAAGTAACTCCGATGGGCCAACTGTCCAAGAGTTCAAATCAAGGTCTAAAAAGAGAAAAAAATTTCCAAGAGACCAATTTTGTCAACAAATATTAACTGTGGGTCAGCTGACACCCTGAACTCTTCTCCTAGTTAAGTGGTCTTTGAGGTTATTTGTAGCAGTGGCTATTTTAGATCTGGTTGAGATTATGGCTGTATCATAGGCAAAAGTAGCTAAAGTGGTGTTAAAAGATTGGTCTGCTGAATATATATTATAGAGTTGGGGATAGGATACTACCTTGAGGGACACTTGTTTTTATAAGGTGTGGGTCAGAAGTTTCATCTTCACATCTTACTGAGAATGTGCAATATGATAGAAATGATTAGAGTGAAAGGAATAACGGAGTGGGTAAAATAATTATTTGAACAATAGCCCTTCATGCCAGACCCCATCAAACGCCTGGATAACGCCAAGGAAAACCCCAAAACAGAATTACTTTTGTTCAAGGGAAGAGGTAATAATATTGTCGACTAGTTTATATAGTTGATGGAAAGAGGAATATTTTGTTTCTAAAGCCAAATTGAGCGTTTGAAATAATTTTTTTATCATTTCGTATTGGATAAATTCTTTTTAATATGATTTTTTCTAAAATGTTTGAGAATGTAGAGAGTAGTAGGCCGATAGGCCTGTGAGTAAGGTTGATTTGGAGGTTTGCCTGGCTTGTGGATTAGGAACAATTAATTTTACATTAACTTTATATATATATATATATATATATATATATATATATAAAAAACCAAATTTCCACCCATTAATAAATTACACATTTAATATAACTTACTACATCGATAAGTAACATATCTAAAATTGAGAATAAAATATGTAATTCTTCTTTATTTAGATGAAAAATTGTAATATTTTTTTAATTACGCTACTTTGCTAACGCCAATATTTATTATAATCATATATTATTAAATATCCACTAGACACTGATTTTTTCCAACTTGTAATGTTAGGAGCTATCTTTCCCTGTATTTATACTATCCTGTGTCTTATACGCTTATCTAGACTTTGATAATTTAAATAAAATGTAAATTTATCGTTTAATTATTATTGAGGGGATATGCTTTATGTTAAGGTTTTTATCGATGAACTGATATTTTTAAATATAATGTATAAATGGGTACTAACAGTATGGATTATATTATTACACAGTAGACATAAAATAATATATTTAAAAAAACGCTCTTTTTTTATACATTATAACAGAGGTGGCGAACCTATGGCACGCGTATCAAAGTTGACAGATTGACCAAATTTTAATAGCACACATAAAAATTGTAAAAAAAAAATTATATAAATTTAAAAATAACTATATTCCTTATGTTTTAATATTTCTTGTAAACTAATGTTGGTGAAAACTTATTTACCATAACACATTTAATTAAATCGAAGGAAATATTTTGACTGATGAAACAATTGCTGCTTGTGTTTCACTAAGAATGACTAAAATTTAATAAAAATAATGTAAAAAATCTGTCATTTTATTTTTATTCATAGAAAATACAATCATGTAAGAACAGGGATGACATTTGCAACCATATTTTAACCACCAATTACATTACATTACTTGTTTAATATTCACTAATGATAACTACATAAATATAAATTGCTTTTTTCACAACTCCCTACTGTACTAAACCATAATTTTTATTCAATGTGAAGTATTTATATTATAATATTTTGAAATGTTTATATTTCATTTACTTTTAATTAGATATAAAACAAAACACAGGTGTCTGTTAGATAGCGAACATAACAGTGTATTCTCTTAACATTGTAGGTGCCTAACTGTCTTCCTTTTATATTAATGATATATAAATTAGTAAAACTAAAAGCATAAATTTGTGATGAATTTCACCAGAAACTAGTCTTAAATTATTTTTATCTTTCACTTCTTATGGAAAAACACACATAAATAACATTTCAAATTATTAAAAACATAATAATTTTAAATGTTTGTTCTTTTTAATCTGTTTTAAAACAAATTTTTTGAACACTAGAAAGAACTATTTTGTTAGAAATGTTTTTTTTTTTTTTGTACCAGATCTTTTGTTTACAAATAGGATTGATTTTAAAATATACTTATATTAGTAAGTATACTGTAAAATTAATAATAACAAATAGGTACCTGTATTTTTTAATTATTATATCTACATTAAAAGTTTATTATTAATTTGTTTCTTTTAATCACTAAATATTATTTTTTATCCAGTAAATACTACTTTAATATTTTACATGTGAATTGGTACATTAAATAATATTAGTTCAAACTTAAAATAGATAAAAGGTAAATAAACAATAACATATTTTATTACAATTTTTAAGATATATTTAATTATCAATATGTAAGATAATAATAATAATAAAAAAAAATAAATAAAAAAAATTAAAACAATTATTACATAGAATTATGAAATAATGATTTTTTTTCACTACCAATAATTCGAATCCTTTTCTGCTTAATGTGTTTGTTAAGTTTTCCACTGGATTTTAAATCTTCATATTGTCCTACTAATTGCATAATTTTTGATTCTCGTTTCTTCAAAAATTGTGGTTTTTGACCTTTGTTTAAAGCATTCAATCTCTTTTGTTTCAATTCAAATTTAATTTTTTCCTGAGTTTCCAATTTCTTTTTCTCTCGCTCTTGATTTTCCATTCTTTGTAATAACAATTTAACTTGCTTTTTCTTCTCATTAGGCGTTTTCTGCTTTAATTTTTTTTGTAACTTCTTTTTCTCTTTTTCTTTTATTTCATCTAGAAACTTATAATTTCTTTCAAAAATACGTTTATCAAATTCACCATATAAAGAGTCAAATCTTGGATCAATTTTTTTAGGTTCTTCAGATGCAATTTTAACTTGAGGCTTTATTTTTTTAATAGGATTTAATAGAGGATCTATTTTGGAGGATATTTCTGATGGTCGATTTTTGTTTTCTCTTTTAATATTTTTAAAGTTAGTTTTTTTATTGGTAACATTATTTATGAATATTTCATTTCCAACTTGTTCTTTTAATTTACGAAGCTCTTCTAATGATAATTTCTTAAGATCTGGTTTAACCCCAATTGTAGTATTTGAAGTTAAATTATTCATTATATATAATTTTTAACACTGAATACATCCACTGAAATAAAATAAAAAAATCACTTTTACTTGATTTTAATGAATACTTAGAATTTTAAAACTTAAAACTATTTTTATTTAGTTATAATAAATAGGTAATAGAATAAAATCAATTATGTTATTCACTTTAAATTTAAATTAAAATATAAAAAACAACATACAACTTGGGACACAATAGCATTTTAATAAAATTTACAAGATATTAAGGTAAATTAGACTAAAAAAATACAAACATTTAGTATACATCCACCAATTCACATGTTTATGAAAATGAACTATAATAATTTAGGTGAAAAGAAAATACTTTTTTTAAAATTAAAAATTAAGTATACCAATCAAACAGTATAATAAAAATTATACAGATATATTTAAGTGATTTACATAACAAATTTCTTATCAAATTATGTAATTCAGCCTGGAGATCAAAAATGCTTTACATAGATACGACAACACTTAATATATACATATATTTATATTATGAGCTGAAATTAAGATGAAAAAAAAAAATCTAGTAGTTTTAATAATTTTTATTATTAATTTTATTTTCTTCATTAAAAATTACATAATTTTGTTACAAAAATTGGATAAAAACTTAATTTAATTTTTTGAACTTCTTCAAAACAGATTTAAATAAGGTTAAAGAAATTTGTAATTATTAAAAATAATTTTAGAAATAAAATAAAAAAAAATGAAATAATTTTTATTATTAGAAACTAAATAAAAAGTAAAACTTATAAATATTTTGATGATTAATTTGCTTGAAATTGAGAAGTATTCAATATTATAACACAAATTTACATTCTTTTACAGAATACAATAATCAAACAACATAATTTTAGTAGCATAAATCACAAAACTAGTTGCATCAATAACATCCTTGTAATATATGTTCAATGAAAGAAATTAACTTAAATACTAAATTATCTTTTAAGTAATTATATAAAATGGTTCAACAATAGACTAGGTTGACCAAATTATTGTTTGAAAATTAAATTCTGTAAATTAATAGGAGCAATATAAATATTTTATGGGTATATTATCCATATGAATAGTATAATTATTATTAACAATATCATAATATAATATCCTGTGGATAAAGTATGAAGTAGAAAAAAAAAATCAATTCATATTAATCTGAAAACAAAGTAAATTAGGAATTATTAAGTTATAATTAAAGACCGGATATAATTGCATTAAAAATATCTTAAAAGTGCATTAAAAAGATGTCAAAATTGCAATGAAATACATTAAAATTACATAGTAATATCATATCAAATATATAATCATTAATTACTAACTTAAATAATATTATTTACATCAATATAATATTTACAAAATATATAATTTTTCTGAATTAAAATGTATACTTATATATATCTCTAAATTGTGTTCTTGAAAATAGTATCATCTGTTATTTAAAATATGTTTATATAATGAAAAAGTATGTTTAACGTCAACACTTGTTATCGATGCATATTTAAATTAGTTTAAAAAATTGAGTGATACATCTAAATAAACATTTTGATTTCCTGTTATAATCTTAGAGTAAATTTTAATAGTTTTATATCCTTCATTTTTTTCTAAGACATATTTAAATTCATCTTTAACTATTTTTCCATTGGGACCGGGAATATTTATAGAAATATTTATACTAAATATTTTTATTTAGTTAGTATTTGTTTAGTATTTATTTATTTAGTATTTATACTAATTATGTTTAAACTATTAAGTAATTGACTATTTGATTCTTCTAAACTTGTGAGTTTTGTGGATAACTCAGATAAATATAATTTTAAAAATCCTGTAGTACATTCAACTACTTGTAAAAATTTACGTTGTAGTTATATTTTTTATGTAAAATCACTTTGGAAATAATAATTTATATATTTTATCACGTGAAGTATACAAAAATTGCAAAATATTACATTATTAAATTAAATAGGAAGACTGTAATTAATCTGATTCGTATACATATTTGATCAGATTTGATTTACTGGGTATCAATAAAAAGTTGCAATATCAATTAAATCCATTCTTTAGTTATAATTTGTATAACAATTAGAGTTACAAAGTATATGCTTTGCAACTTCTGTTATTTATTTTTAATGGTCTTAATAATCCTCCAACATATTGACTTCATATCGATCAGATCAACTACTACTATTTACATTTCTGAAAACATTGTTTTAATCACTAATCCATTATTTAAAGATTTTTATTTTGACTGACATAACTCGCAAAATGTAAAAAGATAGACACTACATCTTATGTCGTATTCTAATAATTTTTTTTAACTTAAGTATTCATGTGGTGTTTTCAACCATGTCCAATACTTAAATTTATATTATATAGCATATTATATGTTTTTGCCCAATATGAAATATTTGTATGACCATCTGACATTAGAAATATTAACTTATCTTTTTCACCTATTAAAATCATATATATATATATATACACACATGATTTATTTATTTTTTATCTCCCAGTTAATTTAATATTTTTTTTTATTTGTGATGTCATATTCAGTGCCAGATTAAGGGTTGATGCCGCCCTGGAGCAAATAATGTTTGCCCTCCTTCCTCCCTTTATACTAGAAAGTATAGATTCAACTAGATGTTGAATGTCACAGAATATTTTTCCAAAGAATTTTTTTTTATATTAATGAAAAATAGTCACAAAATACAATTATAATATTAATAAATAGGTTTAAAAATATTCAGATTTATTAAAGTAATTTTTAATATTAACATCAATTAATGAAAAAAAAACTTTTTTTTAAATGTATTTTTTTTACGGATTTAATAGTTTTGTATCAGTTCTTCTCACTTAATTTCCTCAACCTAATCAAGTTCTATGCATAAAATTGATAAATTAGACATTTTTTCTTGTATAAATGATAATTTTAAATAATATTTTACACATTTTAAAATAGAAAATTATCTTTTGCCACTTGCATTTGAAGAGGGTAAAGTGCAAATAATTCCAAAAATAATTTCAATATTAGGAAATGATGCCTCTAAAGATGATGTTTACAATGTTCTCAGTAGTGATGTAAAAGTATTTTTTGCTTCTGATGGAATATTTTTGATAATAGTTTTGAACAACTAAAAATCAAATCAGAATCATAGAAAATACTATAAATGACAATAACATGTCTACCCTCAAAACATATAAAAATGACGTCAGATTCAAAAATTGGACACTTTATGGAACACCCTACATTTCTTATTTCTAATCATAATTGAAAAACTTTTGCTTAAATAAATATTGTACTTAATATTTATTTTTTCGGGGTAGTTTTATTTATGCCGCCTTGGAGCAAATGTTCCTTTTGCACTTAGGTGATTCCACCTCTGATCATATTTCAATTTCGATAAATACACCAAATTCTCATTATTTTTATTAATTAATTTAAAAAAACTTATAAAATGTCATCAATATATATTAGGCCATATTTAAAAAAAAAGAATACAATTGCATGTACTATTAAACCTTTTAAGTACTATTGTTATGGACACTAAGCAATGCATAAAAAAGTAGTCCTACAAAAAATATTTTGCTTGGTCACGAGAATTGTAATATAAGATGTGTAAATAATAAAAAAAATATATATATGAAATTTCAAAACATGGATTCCATTATCATCAGGAATTAATTCATATAATAATATTACAAATTTCAGTCTCTAGTATTCATAACATTATATTAGACTTAAAATATAAGAAATTAGCACACTCACTACATACTATAAAAATTAGTATAAGTATAATTATGTATACATATATATTATAAGATTTTAATTGCTAATATGAGAAACTAGATAATACACTAATAAAATTATAATAATAACTATATATAAATTGAGTAGTTTCAGTAATAGGAATTCTTTTTAATCTTATATGTAGGGAATTACATTATTCCATATAATTAAATCAAATAAAAATAGATGTTCATTATAATACATACCTAAATATTATCTTATCATTATTTAATCCAAACAATAGGGGTCGCACTGCTCCATCACAGTATTTTAAGTTTATTATCTATTTTATATATTAAAATATGTTTAATTATTTAAATTTATCAACTAAACAGGTACATTAGCCCATAAAAATTACGGTTGAAACAAAAATAGAACTCATATGTTAAGAATAGCCATGAACATAAGCAACTGATTTTATGATTAAAAAATTCACAGATAAATACCAAAACTAACTAGTGAGTAACAAAAACAAATCTACTCAATAGAAAATCAATGATTCACCAATTTGCGAAAGTTAGTAAGAACTGTAGGTACTGCAACGTAAACCCATAAAACATTCAGATAGTAATTAAGACTCCTACTCATTGCATGAGTCACTCGAGGGACAGGTACTGGCAAGTAGTTAGTCACTATTTAAAGAAATGTAAATATACCGGAGGTTAACACACGTGTTTTTTTACAACCAAACGCTGAACTATTCTCTAATTTTTATACCAAGAGCAACCCGATTTTGTTTTCACGTTCCGAGTAAAATACAAAGTAACAATAACATCAACAGTGGTTAATATATAAAAAAAAAAATACGAAAACTAACATTTAACACAAGGAATAGTACTTTGGAAGTACAAAAATGATTAAAATAATATAATCATCTAATATCACCGGGTTCTCGAGGAGCGTCCAGGGTGACAAAATTAACGCGCAAATAAACAGAACACCGCAGGCGTAACACGGCTATAGTCGACATGACTTCACATGATACTAATAATTGTTATAATAAACGAATATTTACCTTCGTCGTGGATTATTTCGGATTCTGCTGAAAATTTGTGTTGTGAGTGGCCACATTAATTCGACGATGGTTACAGTCAGGATGCCGTACGACCATGAAAACATGAACGCTGAAAGATAGAAGACAGAATAAGAATAAGTCACATCTATACACTGAACTAGACCACCACAGGCACAGCAACAAACGTTTTGTTTATATCGTCTTGTAACTAAATTGTACACAATTATATCTTCCATGAGTCAGAGCTGTAAAACCAGTGTATCCTTTTTAAGTTTTTATGCATTTTTCTCTCGATGAAGCGACACTGTGGTAATACATAGCCACTTTCCCGCGTTTCTACAATTAAATAAACTACATTATTAAGTATTACTCATAAATTAGAAATATAATTCTTAAAAAATAGAGAATTAAAATCTAGACCATGGGCGTATTTAAGAGGGGACAATTGCTCCTCCTGAATCCTTGTTTAAGGAATTGATTATATTTGAGATACACATTTCAAATTTTTTTAATGTGGATCATTTTATAACGAAATCAAATTATGTGTTGCTGTGAATACTGAATTAGGCTTTTTGTTGGGTTCATACTCAGTGAAAAATCAAATAAAACACAAGAGTAACTTTCAAAACACAGACAGTTCTAAAAAAGAACTACACAAAAGTCGATTCTATGTGGATTCGACATTAAATTAAAAAAAAAAAAAACACATATTATTAAGGATTCACCTGATTTAAATATTACTAAAAATTTATCTTGTGAATTTTAAGCCTGAATTGAAGAAAAAATTTGAGTCCCCCTCCTCTCCCCATAGAAGTAAGTCTAAATACGCCCCTATACTAGACATTAGAGTAGAGTCTGTTCTAGTGAATAACAAAATAAAATATTAAATCGGTTTATTTTGTCTAGCGCATGACATTATTCTTTGAAATAACACCTCGTTGTCTGTGGCGCATATTGTGTGTGAGTAAGAATATAAATATACATACTTGTTTGTCCTAACCCAGGACTCTTATAAAAATATTATAAGTAGGTAATTATAAGTAAGACTTATTAAGTAGTTAAAATTCTTTGAAGTTTGTTTTTTTATGTTTTTAATCACGAAACAATGATTTCTTCGTGGACCATAAACAGGGATGCCTGCAGAGAGGTACCACACTAGGTTTAAAATACTTTTAATATAAATTTAGTGTCTTTTGTGACTGTAACCTCGTTATAGTCAGTACTTAAGTTCGATAGACATCGGTTACTTAGAATAGTTATTTAATAATTACTATATTAGACATAATTATGGACATAAATAATAAATAAACAGAGACCAATTTTTTTATATTTTATTATTTATTTAAGAATTCCAAGTTATTAAAATTAAAATTAAAATATTGCTATCAATTTATTGGTTGACTTATAGATTAGTTCTGTACTTGGAAATGCCCAAAAGAAAATGTATTATTTGGTAAAGTTGGAGAGATGGAACTTAAATGAAAATGAGGCAGATTATTATGATCTTAGTTCTCTTTCTAAACATAAGAGGTGACATATTATCTTGAACTAGTGTTGGATCTTAATTAATCTAGAAATATCGAGTAGGTAAATCTAGTTCTTTGACGATCTTTGCTTCGAATCATTTGTGTAAGACGATGATTCGTCGTGCATTTTAAATTAAGAATTCAGGCGATAACCCATCTCAAATGTAGTAGAATAAAAAATAAAAATAAATCACATAATAAATAATATATTAATATAACTATACCATTTGTTTATGTACCTTATTTTTCTATTTTTCTATTGAATACCAATTAAATCTAATAAATTATTAATTATTATTATACATATTTGATATTAAACTTGTAATCACATTCAAGTGTTGAAACATTCTAAATATTTAATAAATTAAAAGAAAATTAAGAACTAAGTTAACATTTTTACCAAGATCTATCAAAATATATAATTTATAACATTAAAATTGTGTATTCTATTAACTGTATACAGCAATAAATTAAAATTGATCTGGAATTAAAAATATGCCGAAATTGGCGCTAAATAAATACTATTCATGCACTTCATGACCATGGTAGTGTTTTAGGTGAATTTAATGATTTCCTTGGTAATTTTCCTTTTTCAGGTTATGTTACTTTATTTCAACTCTATGGAGTAGGTGGAAAAAATAAAAATTTACTATCATCAATAACATCCAAGTATTTGGTAAGATAAAAACTAAATATATTTAATCAAAACTTTGAATGTTGGAATCTCGAACGAAGATTTTTTTATTAGTTTAAAATATTCAGTTAAAAGTGTATTAATTCACCAATAGTTTTTTTAAATACTTTTTTTGAAATGAATATTAATATGAATTGCTAATTTAAAAGTAATAAATATGATCCATTGAAATGGCTCTTAAACGGTTCAAAATGAATCATTTTAAAGTTTTCTTCTTGTTTTTGGCCATACATTTGTGTTTTGTTAACGGTGATGAACACACTCATGTGGTATGAAAAGATTTATTATGACCTTTCTTTAGATTTAATTTTATTATATTTCCATTTGATATTTGTGAAATATTTATCTTAATAAATTTGAAACATTTAATAATTTGATGATGTGGCTATTTTACAAAATTAGCTATGTATAAGATAATGTCTACTTGATTCTCATTTTTTGATCATTTATTCTACTAAATTTTTTTAGTTTGGACATACTAAATAATAAAATATATTTTATTGATATCGAAAATGGGTCAATAATAGTTGATATGAAATATTTATATTGCAATATTAAATTTTTAGTATAAAGATAACGAAGAGGTAGTTTTGTGGATGAATACTGTTGGTCCTTATCATAATCGACAGGAAACTTATACTTACTTTAGTTTGCCATTTTGTGCTGGCATAAAAGATTCAATTGGTCATTATCATGAAACACTTGGTGAAGCTTTACAGGGTGTCGAACTTGTATATAGTGGACTGGACATGCATTTTAAAGGTTTGAGTATTTGTTCATAATTAAATGGTGACCTATCAATTAGTTAAATTTTATAATTTATTTAGAGGATGTATCTAAAATTCCTTTTTGTCAAGTCAACTTAAATGATGAAAAATTAAAAGCATTTGTTTATGCTGTACGGAATCATTATTGGTATCAAATGTATATTGATGACCTTCCAATTTGGGGTAAATTATATTTGTATAGTCTATTAACTAGTTTAATATTTATTAAAAATTTAATTTGAATCAGGTATTGTCGGAGAAGTTGATGAAAATAATAACAAATATTATATTTGGACACATAAAAAATTTGATATTGGCTACAATGAACATCATATTGTTGATGTAAATTTGACGTCTGAAGCCAAAGTTGAATTAAAAGTTAATACCAATATTGAATTCACTTATGAAATTAATTGGAAACCGTCTCCAATAATTTATAAGGATCGTTTCAATAAATATCTAGATCCTAAATTCTTCCAACATAGAGTAAGTTGTTAATACTAATACAATTTTATTACATTTAATATATATTTATATATATAAAATATACTAATTTTTAATTTTTATTTATATGTTATTAGATTCATTGGTTCAGTATTTTCAACAGTTTTATGATGGTCATATTTTTAGTTGGATTAGTGTCCATGATTTTACTGAGAACTGTACGTAAAGATTATGCTCGTTACAGTCAAGATGAAGAAGTTGATGCTATGGTAAATAATATATTTTATTTGAATTTTCATTTTGTACCATTTATAATATTATTTATTGATAGGACAAAGATTTGGGCGATGAGTATGGTTGGAAACAAGTTCATGGTGATGTATTCCGTCCAGCATCTTATCCTATGTTTTTCTCTGCAATTATTGGATGTGGTCACCACATAACTCTAGTCACTCTTGTAGTTATAACATTTACAATAATTGGAGATTTATACACTGAGTAAATAGTACAAAAATATTTTATAAGTTGGGGGGGGATTTTTTTAAGTTATTTTTAAAAATAAATTTTTCCATCTTTACTAAATTTTATTTTATATTATTTGCTATAAATTAATTCTTAGCTTCACCGAGTAAATTAATTTAAAAGTTTGGAAAGGAATTATAATTTTATTTAAAAATATAATATACTCTATTAAATTTTGTTGATATTTTTTTGATACTTTACTCTAAATATTAATAAATAAATAGCTGATTTTTCTGAACATGCCAAAATACCAATAATATATGATTTTAATGATTTTAGAGCCTTATAAAGATAATTTATATTTAATTTTTTTTAATTTAGAATATAGTTAAAAAAGAAAATATTTAAAAAAAAACTTATGTTTTTTTTTAATTTTTAATTTTTTTTTTCTTATAGGCGAGGATCCTTATTGGGCACTTCAATATTTGTATATGCTGTAACCTCTCCTGTAAATGGTTATTTTGGTGGATCATTATACGCTAAAATGGGTGGGCGTATTTGGATTAGACAAATGTTATTATCTGCATTTTTACTACCATCACTTGTATGCGGTATGGCATTCCTTATTAATTTTATTGCAATATACTACCATGCAACTCGTGCGATTCCATTTGGTTCAATGGTAATAATGATATCTGCAGTTTAAGAATTATTTATAAAAAAAAATAAAATTCTTTCTACTAGGTTGCAGTAGCTTGTATATGCATTTTTGTGATATTACCTCTTACATTGGTTGGAACTTTACTGGGACGAAACTTATCAGGACAACCAGATTATCCTTGCAGAGTAAATGCAGTGCCAAGACCTATACCAGAAAAAAAATGGTTTATGGAACCTTTAATTATTACAATGCTAGGTGGAATTTTACCGTTTGGGTCAATATTTATTGAAATGTAAGCTAAAAATATTATATAATATTTTAATATCAATTCTAAAAAAATATTAAATTTATTTTAGGTATTTTATATTTACATCGTTTTGGGCTTATAAAATATATTATGTCTATGGGTTCATGCTGCTAGTTGTTTTAATTTTGATGGTAGTAACAGTATGTGTCACAATTGTATGCACTTATTTTTTACTTAACGCTGAAGATTACAGATGGTAAATCAAATGAAATTATAGTAAATAATGATCTTAGAAACCATTTTACTGGTAAATTATTTTATTTTCTAGGCAATGGACAAGTTTTGCAGCAGCAGCATCTACTGCATTTTATGTTTATTTGTATTCATTTTATTACTTCATGTTCAAAACAAAGTGAGTTATTATATTTATTTTTTAATTAGCTGATGGTTTAGAGTACAATGATGTACAATTGTATTGAATTCAGAATTTTTTAATTCTCATAATACTGTTTAATATTATACCTATTCAATTTTAATTTTAATTTTAATTTAGAGGATTATACGTGAAATTTGCTTATCTGTGAATGCCACACCACTCTATTCCTCGAATAATCAAGAGTAAACTGTTACATATATATTTATTATAACAATTATTATTTGATTTTAATGTTTCAGAATGTATGGACTTTTCCAAACGGCATTTTATTTTGGCTACATGGCATTATTCAGCATTGCTCTAGGTATTATGTGTGGTACTGTGGGTTACATCGGGGCTCATGCGTTTGTGCGTAAAATTTATACTACTGTCAAAATTGATTAATCATCAACCATTATAATCGGAACTTTAATAATGTTTTTGCATTATGTAAGTTAATGAGTTAATAAATTGTAGATTACTCAAATTTTATTATAATCATTTTTTAACTATATTTTCATTTTTCTTTATATTAAAATGTTTTATTCGTTGTGGAATAAAATTAGTAAACACTGAGTCAATCTGCATTGTAATTTTTGAAATATCAACATAACCAAATAATCCTAATTAATTACTGAAAAATACCACTGCAATGAAACTTGTTTTTACACATTATAATTTTTACTTAATAAACAATGACATGTTTGCACACAAATAAAAGGTAATGTATTATGTCAAATGTTATTCCCAAAACAGTGAAATCGTTAGAACACAATTTTTATATTTATAATATTTATTTTTTTATTTTTTTTTTTTTTTGTTTGTGTTGGTAGATAAATGTATAAACAATATTTTAACATTATTGTGGTGCCCAAACCTTTTTATAAATATAATTACATATGATCAAAAATATTACTTAAATATAATTTACTACATTTTCAATTTTTTTGGAAGTATTAAGTTGTTATTAGAATAATTATTTCAATGTTTATTTAGGGTACTATAATTATTTTAACTGTATTTTGTAAATACTGTTCGTTATTAATTTAATCAGTTTAAAGATTAAATATATAAGGAATTTTTAATATCAAACTATTTAAGCTTTGTATTCTTAAATAAATTATAGCTGTATGCGTAAATAAGTTGTGAATAAATAAAATGTGTGCTATTGAGTAACACTTGACTTCATTTAGGCAAATTTTTGTTATTTCTATGATGATTATCGGATTATTATTATTATTCTCCCAATTTTCTATCAAATGTAACCTTTTATTTTTATTTTTATATTAATTTATTGCTTTATCTTGTATTTTTTCCCCTCAAGTAATGTGATATATAAGTTTATCAAGTATTTTTATCTTATTCAAATGATTGATTTTTATTAAAACCATTATTTAATTAATAATTTTAGTATTTCCAATTATGTTATCCTAATAAATAATGTAAAAATATTTGATTTAAATAAAAAAAAAATAAAAAATACAGAGATCAAATATTTGTCTTGCATCACTTTTTCCTTGTACAATATAATTGTGTAGGGACGTATTGAGAAATTAAATATACTTCTTCACTCGATGTAGATCAAATCAGTGATTTTACATCAGTAAGATAAATTTTTAATTATGACAAAAAAATTCAAATTTGGTTATTAGTGGTAATTACTGATATCTCAATTGATCATTTTATAAGATAGTATTATGACTTATTGTACATGTTCAAAATCCAAATCTAAACAAATGTTCTTAAGTTCCAAGCTTAAGTCAAAAACTTTTAATTATTTACCTATTTATGTTTTAAATTGTCATACATGTATAAGTATTAAACTTAACAATTGGGTTACAAGAGCATTAAAATTGCTTATAATATAAATACATTTTAAAATTAGTTTTTTACTTCAATTTAATGAATATGGACTTGAACTAGCCAGTTATGTTTTGAAAACCATTAGCTTGAACTTAAACTAGTTAATTTTGAAATTTGTAATCAACTTGTACTTGTTCATTGAAATTTTTTTTTCTATTATTAAATGAATTACATGGTAATCTTTTTATTTTTTTTTTATTGGTAATACATCCGTCATCTGAAAACACTATTAGGCAAAACTTGGATGATAGTTATCTATATCTAACTAATGTAGCAAAAGAAACAAAAATAATAATTTTTAATTAATGAATTTATTATAATAAACATAGTTTGATAATATATTTCTTATATTTTGTACATTTTATTTAAAACAATTGAACTAGGTATGTATTTAAAATATTATTTGTTTTATCGATTAGTGGCTTTTATAAAAAAGCTTTTATCAATTGCTCTTAACAATCGCCTCCAAGTTAAGTTTACTTCTAAAATATACATAATGCAAGTCCCTTGTGTTGTTCATGTTTATTTGTATACATTTGAAAGCAACTATGGTATATCACATTCAATAAAGGATTTTAAAGAAAGGTCGGTTTAAATATATAGTACAGACCTTGAAAACCTCAATCCTTTGTTTCTGCTTACAAAATAACGGCAGCTCAACACTTGAGGGGTGACATAACAAAGCTTATTATACATTTTTCTTTTTTTATTGCAGAACCAACGAGAAATGGCGTGACATTGATTAATAGAATAGAATTTCAATTTATTTTTTCCACGAACAAATGAGTACGGAAATATATATATATATATATATATATAAACATGTGTATATGTAGTTAATTCAAAATTAACTCTAGCGGATAAAAAAAAATTCAAATTTAACTTAATATGCCAATTAAAGCCATGAATCGAACATTTCATTTCATTTTATCGATCTATTGGTGTTCCGAGATTGGTTAACCATTGTATTTGTATTGAGTAAAAATGATCTCTTCATCGTTTTATATATTCTTAAACAGGGATCAGGCCGTGACCAAAATGCAGCGAATGGGTCGGTGACAAGATGAGTAGATAGAGAGGTAATAACTATTAAGATAAATATTCTATATTCTATATTCTATATACTTTTATTTTATATTTACAGTGATTAATATACCATTATTAATATTATATATGCACAAGGTCGTAACAAGGGGAGGACTAGAGCAGGATTGGCAAAAACCTGGGCTTTATAGAAAAAATCCTACCCGGTTGGGTTTTTTCGGGTTTTTTTCAAATAAAACCTCGAAAACCTGATGGGTTTTAGGCCCCATTCACACAGTCCATTTTTTAACGGACTATTTATTCTATAAAAACAGAAAACGGAGATATAAGAAACATGGTTGTTTATACTAGTTATTCACACTATCCGTTTCAATCAACGGACAAATAATCCACTGGTCCGTTAACGGACAACTCGACGGATTGCATTGATATATTTCCGTCGTCGGAACGTTTTTAAAACGGACCGTTTATCAAGACTATATTAATAGATATAACATTTCACACCTTCCGATCCGTTTCCATTGCCATTAAAGAAACGGATTGTGTGAAAATATTGTCCGATTTCTATTTTCATCCGATCCATTTCCGTTGCCGTTAAAAAAACGGACTGTGTGAAAGAGGCCTTGGTGTACACGTAAAAATGGCCGGTTTTACGGGTTTTTTCAAAAAAAAAATGAGTGGGTTTAACCCAGAAAATCAGTCTGGGTTTTTTCATGAGGTTTTCAAAATATCAATGGGGTTTAACCCAGAAAAGCATCCTGAGTTTTTTCGGGGTGGGCTTTTTCGTGGATTAGAAGCGCCTACGCTACGGATGCAATTTCTGGGAGGGCGCAAAAATGAAAAATTTGCAATTTAATTGTTACTTATAACTTATTACTTATTAGCAAAAGTAATATTATGTATTTATGTATTTGCTTATATAACTTATAAATATTATTATATTATACAGATCTTTTTACCTACCTATTTATAATTGTTATCGAACATTAGAAATGCAATATAGTTTATTGTTATATTTAATTTTATAATTTTAATTCTTCTTCTTTTATGGACGTAGTTCACGTTTCAACTCCTCCTCCGGAAACCTTCGAATATGGACTACTAAATCAATTATAATAACAGTCCAAATTGAAAATGTCGTCGAGTGCATATTAGGACAATAGTGTTTTATCCCTGGTAAATAAATGCGTCTATCGATATTTCGATGACATAGTAATAATATTCAATTTTAAAGGTAACAGGAAATATTTCAAACGCATGACCTTGAATTTGATTCGGGTTTTTTACAGGGTACAGAACATATAAATACATGTTTTAACTTTTTTTTATCTGCGCATGCGCAGTAAAATAAAATTTTTTTAAATAGGAATCACCATTTTTGACACTGGATTTGGATTGCTCTATTTTTTTTTTGAGCAACTTTGATCTTCACAGTTTTTTGATATGTTTAAAATTGACATTTTTAAGACAGTCGAAAGTTTTAAATTAGGTAATTCGTATTTATCGCATACATATTTCAACGCTCTACGTACCTACTTACCCCAGGTGACGGAAAGAGGGAAATGAGCCAAAACAAGTAATAATCGTAATGTATTGTTTTGTTACGATATTCGTTTGGGTGTCGAAAGGTCATCGGATGACTTTTGCGAATGCACGTCTTGTACGTTCGTCACTGCTGCAAGGGTTCGCCAGTCACTGCACTACCACGTCACGTTGACATTCCATCCGAACATAATATAATACGTAAATCACTATCGTTGTTGTTGTCATCGCATCGAGTACACAAAGTTATACGGTTAACAAGAAAAAAAAAAAAATAATAATAATAAAAATAAACCCCGCAAATCGTAATTAATACACTCCGCGGGCATAGGGATGTCAAATTTTTTGTAAAAATCGATGTATCGATTTATTTATTACTAAACAACGATTGTGACAATAACGATAAATTAAAAAACCATCGAAGTCAAGAACTCGATGTATTTAGAAATACATCGATGTTTTTTAAAAAAAAAACAAACATACATTTCATAGGAAAAAAATTATTATTTTTTGTTTCTTTATTCTTAGCCCACAAGCTAAATTAGTTAAAAAAATTTTAAATTTAAACATACACGATCAACTCAATTTATTTACTTATTTATTAAAAAGATTAAAAAAAAACATTGTGTAAAAAAATTAAATTTAAATTAAATGAATAAAGTTCACAGTCAAATATAATCACAATAAATTCATAAGTTATAATAAAAATGTTTATATATTATTTTAAACTGAAAACAATGTTGTCATTCATATCGAAGCCAAAATTGATCGGCCAAGTTGTGGAAAAAAATCAATTTTGATGCCGATTTTCTACATAACAAGCTTCATTAATTTATTTTTGGGAAGTTTTTTATTTTATTTCTATAATTAGGTATTACAAAAATTCAAGGCTATTAAATTATTTTTCTAGCGATAAGACTATATTATTATGGATTAAGATCAAGATACAGTCATCCTGACTTGTTTTATTAACCAAGTTAATATTAAATTATAATTATACGTACATACATCCATATTTTATTGTTTGCAAATGAAAAATTTTAAAAATATTTTGTGTAATGTCCTTGGACATCGGAGATAAAACAAACATCGAAATCAAAACATCGGTAAACGTGACACATCTATAAATATCATAAATATCATAACTTAAACATCGATGTTTTTTTGACATCCCTACGCGGGTGGCGTTCAACAAGTGCGCGCGTAAGTTACCGCCGTCGAGTAAGTGCTACTCATCCATCGTTGGCGGCAGTGGTCAACACGCCGTCGTCGTTTTCACACGCGTCTTGTTCGGGTCGGTCGCGCGGATGTTGCTTTGCGGGCCTGTATCGCTGTGTAAAATGGTCGGCCGCGAAAAATTCAAAATAACGCTTCGC